TGTGTGAAATTACCACGACATCGAATTGGAGGGTGGGAAAAAAGCCAGGGACTATTTTGCATTTTTTCCCTGCTGTCAAAATATGAAAGAAGATTTACAAAAAACAAAATCAGAAAGAGGAGGCTCTCATCCCACCGCTGAGCTGACCAATATTCACATTTCAAATTATCAGCGTTCATTTTTCTTCTGTGCACAATTTGTACACAATGTGCTGTGTGTGTCATCTTGCTTCTTGCCTCTTCCCTTTCTCTCTCTCTCTCTTTTTTTTTTTTTTTTGCTCATTATCACATCATAACCATTTCGCTGATGTTGCTGTACAGGCTTCATAACTATTACTTTCGGTAGCTGCTAAATCTCACCTCACATGGCTTAAAGTGGCCATCGCGTCTCCTCCCAAGCTAGCCCCATGCCAGACTTGTCGTCGGTGCTCAGAAATTATTTGTTAAATGAACGAATACATGGCAAAGGAACCATTCACTCGTTTCTAGAGCTGTGGGTTGTGCTGCATTCTCTTGATTCAAAATCGTTCTGTGACAAATTGATTATTCCTTTAGGACCCAGTCTCAGAGCAGAGTTAGAGGGCCAACAGGGGGCCCAAAACTTTCCGAAGAGAAATGCACCAAGCCAGAAACTGTCTCCCGCTTCCCTCTGCCCCGTCGGCAGTTGTGCCAATGGTAAAAACTTAGAATTGATTAAAGAGTTTGTGGGGGTATTTTTCCCCCATCTTTTTCTCCCTCCTCTCCCCCTCCCCTGGCTGCCAAAAAGGGGGAAAATTGTCTGAGAAGGTAAAGATGTTCTCAGACAATCATATTAACATATTCCAACAATCGCAATTTGCAAAATACTAATCACAGCTCCCAGGATCTGGGGCGGGGAGGGGGGGCACGCACGAGGGGGGGGGGAAAGGAGGGGCATTAATCAAAGCCACAGGTTTAATTCCATTTTAAATATTGATGAAATGTGCTCCGGCAGCGTCACCCTGGCGTGGCAGGGCCAGGGGAGCTGCGCGAGGCGCCGCCGGGGACGTGGAGGGAGGGCTGTTGAGCAGCTGCCGGGAGGGGAGGCATCTGTCATTCAAATTGGTGGCTGTGCAGCCAGGTAGAGAGTGAAAGCGGTAGTGAAGAGGGCTGTTAAGTCCATTGCTGTCAATTTGTAACGATCAGGGAGGGGCCCGCGGACTGGTTGAGCACAATAAACCCAGTTTGTCTGGTTTCAGGGGTTACGGCTGAAGAGGCTGCAGCTGCACTGATTCGAATAGCCTAGAGACTTCAGTACTGTAATTAGCAACCAGGCTGCTCACAGTGTGGCAAAAGTGGGCTCCACCAGCGCTTAACTCCTTGTGTGCTGACGCATCCCCGCCGCTCTCCCCGCCCCTGGGTTTCCCAGCCTCAGCCGGGACCCCCAGGCAGCCTGCCCAGGAGAGACTAAGGCCCATGGACATTTTAGGGCAGTTGTCCAAGGCCGGAGCAGACCAGCCAGCCAGCCTTTCCCATTAGGTTGCATGTAAAGAAATGGGGGAGGAGGCGGGGGTGGCTTGGGCGAGCTCTGTGCCGGCAGCCCCAGCTCTTGGCACCGCCGGGGGTCTGCCCTGCGGTGAGAAGCCAGCCTCCAGAGCCTGGTGGACCTTGGTTCAAACTACTCTGGCTGTGACCCAGGACAAGGCTCGGCGCTTCCGTAGAACAGGGTCATCTCCCCTACCTCAGCCGCTGCTGCAGAAACCCTGGGTGCATCGTGGGCTGTCCGTGAGCCGCCACCTCCCTGCACCTGCGCCGGGCACTTTTCACGGAAGAGCAGGTATCCCTGGGCAGGGAGTCAGGTTGGAGGGCAGCCTTTCACAGGGCCTCCACATCCTGGCTCTCAGGGAGCCCCTTCAGTCCACCACGGCCACCATTCGTCACCATCTCTTAGGCAGGTGGCACTGGGCTAGGCATGGGGTAAGGACTTTAGGCTGTCACCATGAGGGTCACGCTGGAGGCAGGGATTGGCGCAGAGAGAAAGAGGCTCAGGGTGAGGTGGGCAGGCAGCAAGGCCAAGAGCAAGGTCACCGAATCCTACACAGACTTCCTCCTCCCACTGCCTGCGAAGCCAGAGAGATTCTCCCCTGCATCCACGAGGGGACGTTCCCAGGACGGTCTGTCCCAGGGAGCGGGGAGGATGGGGTGTAGGACGCGACGGAGCCAGACACAGCCTGCAGAGGCAACGCCCCAGACATGCACGAAGCAGCCGCAGGAAACAGTGCCAAGAACCTCGGGCTGAAGCCCGCAGCACAGGGCCGCCTCTGCACACGTGTGACAGAGCTGGGCTACATCCCGCCGTGGAATGGGGCGGGGCACTGGGGCTGGGCTTGGAGGAGAAAGCAGGATGGTGGGGGCGGGGGAGACGGAGTGAGTCCAAAGGAGGGGGCTACCCAGAGAGGCGAGGAGGGTGGGCTTGGGCTGAAGGATAGGAGTCACTCAACTCTCAGGATTCCAGGTTTGCAAAACAGTCTGGGTTCAGTCTGAGCTCTCCTTGTCCTAAGCGTGCAGGTGTGGACAAGTAGCTCCACCCCCATGAGTCTCTGTTTGTTCACTGTCAAAATGGGGGGGCAGCTCCTTCAGGGGATACCAGGCAGCTCCCGCCCCTCCTCCCCGCTCCCCGGGGAGGCACCTGGCTCCCCCTTCTCCTGCAGAAGCCCTGGGTTCCGTGAAGAGAGTCAAGAATGGGGACCCCCACAGTAATCACTAGCTCCCAGGAAAAGGCAAATTGAAATCACAGGGAACCCTGTCGCATCCCAGTTGAGACCACTATTGTCAAAAGATCAGGATGTGATGAGAAGGGAGCGCAAACTAGCACCACCGTTAAGGAGAACAGTGCGGGAAGTAAAATCAGGTCTTCCGTGTGACCCAGCCACCCTGCACTCCCATGTTCGTCGCCGCACTGTGCACCCCAGCCAAGGTAAGGGGTCCATGCAGGCGTCCATCCACAGGTGAATGGATGGATGAGACAGGTATCTTTACATAATGGAATACTATTCAGCTATCAAGAAAAAAAAATAATAGAATCCTGACATTTGCAGCAAAATGGTTGGAACTGGAGAACACTGTGTTAAGTAATCCAAACTCAGGAAGACAAACACCACGTATTCTCCCCTTGTACGTGGAAGTCTAAAAAATATTAGAATAGCGGTTGTAGAGAACTAGAAAGGAGAGAGGAAGACAGAGGGAGGTTGGATAACGGGTACCAAAGCCCAGTTGGACGGAAGAGGTTCTGCTGTGCCTCGGCACACGGGGAGGCTGCTGGTCATTGTGTGTGGTACGTGCTGTAGAATGACTGCAGGACAGGAGCTGGCAGGCTGCACACGCAGAGGAAGCAGTGGGAGCTGATTACCTCGCTGATCAGTTTGCGCTGTATGCTTGCGTTGAAATGAGGATTACATGTTAATCAAGAATTTAAAAAATAAATGCATAGGGTTGGGCCAGCGCTGTGGTACAGCGAGTTAAAGCCCTGGCCTGCAGCACTGGCTTCCCATATGGGAACTGGTTCAAGTCTCAGCTGCTCCACTTCCTATCCAGCTCCCTGTGCCTGGGAAAGCAGTGGAGGATGGCCCAGGTCCTTGGGTCCCTGCACCCCTGCGGGAGACCTGGAGGAAGCTCCTGGCTTCGGATCAGCTCAGCTCTGGCTGTTGCAGCCGTCTGGGGAGTGAAACAGCAGATTTCTCTCTGTCTGTCTCTGCCTTTCTCTGTATCTCTTTCAAATAAATCAAATAAATATTTTAAAAAAATACATACATAGGGCAGGCATTGGGGATGCAGCAGGTTGAGTCGCCACTTGAGACACTCATATCCCATATCAGAGTGCCTGGACTGAGTCCCAGCTGCTCTGTGCTGGGCAATGGAATCCACCCAAGCACTTGGGTTCCTGCCACCCATAAGGGAGATCTAGAAGGAGTTCCTGGCTCCTGGCTTTGGCCTGATCTAGCCTAACCTAGCCCTAGCTGTTGTGGGCATTTAGGGAGTGAACCAGGGCATGAAAAGATTTCCCTGTCTCTCTGTTTCTCCCTGTCTCTCTGACACTCTCCCTTACAAATAAATATCATTATATATATAATATATTATATATAATAAATATATAAAAAATATATAAATATATAAAATAGATGGGAGTGGGAATTTGGTGCAACAGGGAAAACACTTGCTTGGGAGACGCACATCTCATATTGAAGTGCCTGGGTTTGGGTTGTGACTCCACTTTTGATCCAGTTTCCTGCTAATGCACACCCTTGGGGGGGGGGGGGGACAGTAGATGACAGCTCAAGTGGGAGACCCAGTTGAGTTCCAGGCTCCTGGCTTTGGCCTGGCACAGCCCCAGCTGTTGCGGGAATTTACTGAGTGAATCAGCTGATGGAAGATTCTCTCTCTGCCCTTCAAATTAATAGTTTAAAAGTAATAATGAATAAGTTTAAGAAAAGAATGGAGAATTAAGAAAGGACTTTAGAATCTAAAGGCCCTGCCCCCTACCACTGCCAGCAAGACCCCAGCCCACTGTACCAGGGGTGCCATTTATGGTACAAGGATACTTCAACAACTTGGTGGAAAATGGAATTAAAAGATAAGCTTTTTTGGTACAAAAACTTTTGAAATCCTATATATGAGAGGTCCTCAAAATACTCATAAAAAATGCACACTATTAAAAAAAAACACTATTGACAGATTTCAAAATTTTTTGGACCCAACTAAAATTATCTCTTAATTCCAAATTTCCATGCATGTTTTGAAGTCCCCTCATAGGTCAGGCCGGACGAGTCCCCAGCGGGAGGCGGCCAGTCCAGCCCAGCCCAGGTGGCTGGCCAGCCTCATGCTGCCTCCACCAGCAGGCTGGGCAGACGAGAACCAGTCTGTGTTCAATCTCCCCGAGACCAAGTGAAAGGCCTGCACCTGCCCACACAGGGCTCAACAGACTGGAAGGCATTCGGGTCTGGGGTCTCCCCAGGGCAGTGCCCAACTCCTCCTCTTTGCTTACAGATGATGACGAGCACGAGTGGATCGTGCGGACGTGTCGGAAGGGCTGGGACCAGATCGTGGGCCGCTGCATCCAGCTGTGAGCTGTGCAGCTGCCTCCGTCAGAGGCTTCCACCCGCCCGGCTCGCATTGGCCGCCCAAGGCGGGGCAGGCTGTAGTTCTAGAACCTGGCTTTTGCCTAAGGAATAAAAGCTTTCTGCACCCTGTGGCCCAAGTGTGCTTTCCTTGGAAAACTTTCCCAGCATCCCCTGTGTCAGAATGAAATCGTGAACTACAGATATTCCTGGGCGCCACCTCCGAGTAGCCAGAGCAGAATCACCATGCATGGGGCCTCATAGCTTGCTCTCCCAGGTACTTTCTATGCGCATGAAAGTCTGAGAACCATCACCTACAGGAGTAGGCAGTAGGAATGGACAATGAAGGGGTGCAGGTGGGCGTGGGCGTGGTCTCTGCTCCACCTTCAGGCGAGGGCTGGGCATCAGCTTTTGCAGATGGGGAATCCAAGGTTCTGAGGGAGAGAGCAACTTTGCTCGGTCTCAGAGGGGAGTGACCGGACCCCTGTGCCCAGACTCGCTACTGGTACCTTCCCGTAGGCCTGACAATGCTTTCCCAGCACGGTCCTTCCCTCCTGGCAGCTCCCCCCAGGCACAGAATGAGCCTGGTGCCATAGAAAAGGTGCATGTGGCATCATGCACACCTGGGCTCAAATCCCAGCTCACCCACGGGGATCATGCAACCTTGGGCAAGTCACTTGTGTAAGCCTCAGTTCCCTCATCTACGAAATGGTCACGATGCTGTTAAAAACAAGAGTCGCAATGTGGATTGAACAAGATAATACAAGCAAAGGGGCTGGCATTTGTCAGGTACTCCACACACACTTCCCCACAGCTGCAACATTGAGTCATTCATTGCTCCGAATGACCCCAAGGACCACGCGTCTCGGCTGAAAACCAGAAGAGGAAGTGGCAGTAGGTTCCGGGTGGGCCACAAGTAGCCTGGATCTTTTTTTTTGACAGGCAGAGTTAGATAGTGAGAGAGGGAAACAGGAAGGTCTTCTTTTCATTGGTTCAGCCCCCAAATGGCCATTATGGACCTTTCTGTCCCACTGGCACACTGCACCGGCAGCTGAGGTTGACAAGCAACTCAGTTCTGGGCAGGACCACAGCACAGGAGCCTGGGCCAGAACAAATAATTCCACCATGAGAAGACAATGTGACAACCACCAGAAAGGTGCTCCCTCTCACTGAGACCACATGACAAGGACACTGGAGAAGAGCTGGAGCTGGAGCCTGGTCTCCCACCCCACATTCCCTTGGCTTCACCTTCGTTCTTCCCCGAAGGCTGCTCTGTGCCTCCCTCCCTGCCCCACCCCTACTCCTTCCTCTCTCCTGTATATTCCACAAACGCCAGCCACACCTACCAAGACCCTGCCTTGGTCCCTGGAACCTGGCAGAGGGAAGTCTGTTCCCAGGCGTGGCCAGGTGGAGAGCTCCTCCTCCTCCGAGCCGGCACAGGACCCAGCAGCCAGTGTGTGTGTCCAGGAAGCCTGTAGAAAGCACCGCTTACTGACCGCAAAATGATGTCCATTTTCCGGGAAGGGGGATGGCAACCGTACAACAGCCCAGAGACCCTGGGAGCCAGAGACCTCAGCTCTTCACCAGACAGCAGGAAAGAAATGGAATCTCATCTTGTTCTGGATTTAAGTGCCAGCACTTCTACTTGCATTAACTTTATTTATTACACAAATAAGACATTTACAAAGCACGACATGAAAGGTATGTAACAAAACAGACATTGGTTTTACAAAAAAAAAAGTGCTTACATTTTTTTTTTTCCGCGTGTGTGTTTTCCCCTTTCATATTTAAATAAATAGTCTTGATGGCCTGTATGTTCTCAGGCTGCTCTTAGCAGGGAGGTGGAGACGTTTCGGCTGCAACATGCTATGGCCATGTGATCCACGCAATGACTAGACCCTGGAGGGCAGGCTCAAGGCAGAGTGGGGGCTGGGTGACCCTGGACAGGGCTCAGCCAGTGTGACTGGGACTTGGACCGTCAGGAGGAAAAAAAAAAAAAAATTGGAAAGATCTGAGCTCTCCAAAGCCAGGAATCGTTCATGTAGCACCCGGCACAGGGCTGGGCACAAGTCGCTGCGGGATGAGTTCTGGATGGAGCTGCACCTGCCGTGTTGTGGGTGGTGCCTTCTCTGCCGTCAGTCAGCTGTCACCATCTTTGGAAAGGGGGGGAAGCAGTTTCCCTTCTTGAGCCGCACCTGGGCCTAACCCTCCTCCAGGTCCCAGAGCAAGAATGGCATACAGGTCCTCCTCTGTGTGCCGACGCCAAGCACCTCGTTCCTGAGACCACGTCCAGACTCCGTGAGACTGAGACAGAGTGCTGCAATCCACGAGCGATGTCAGCCACGGGCAAGAACAGGGACGAGAGCTGCCTGTGTGCCATGGCTTGCCTTCCCCGTCCTCGGCTCCTTCCAAAAGCAACGCATCCCGTTAACCGCAGCAGGAAGGACGACTCGGGCCACAACACGCTGACCAGCAGCCTCCAGTGGGAAATGCCTCAGGACACGCTTGGGACTGCGTGGGCATCTCTGAAAACATATTCGTGGCAGTGTGCAGCCCCAGCCCTTTTGTTTGGAGTGGAAGAGCTGCAGCAGGATGGGTGGGTGTGAGCACAGCTGTGCCTGGCCTCTGTTCTCAGGGGTGGGTGAAGCTGCCTCTGGGCGGGGGAGGGGAGGCGGGCAGGGGTGCTGGTGGGGATGCCCAGAGGTGCCAGCTGGGATCCTGGGTATTGCACACTCACCTAGGCAGTGGGTACCTTCTCCCCACTCTGACCACCATTTCATTGGGTTCTGTGCCCTGGCCCCCTTGAGTGCTACCCCCCCCAGAGAAGACCTGGCCTAGGCACCCCTATCAGGCATGAACAAGTAGCCAACAACAGTCCCCAATGTTACCCTGCGTGAACATTCCAGAGAGACATTGCTCAGAGCCAATACCACCTCTGCTATGTCTCCCATGCTTATGTGCTAGGAAATTGGGTGAGGGGAGGGTCTCCCCCCAACACCCTGAGTCTTCTCCTTCCTCCCCTTGAAACGGCTGTAGTGCCTCCTCTCCCCAGCCATGAGCCATGCCCTCGCCCCCATCTCCAAACCAGTGGGGTCTCCTGCCCCCACCCCCACCTCTTGGTCTGGGCAGGCCCCCATCTCTGCCCTGTTGGGCCTCTCAGGGTTGGTCAGTGTCTCTTCTCTTTCTGAATTAACTTGACGTAACCAGACAGATGGAAATGATAAAATTAGAACATAGCTTTCCTTTGGGGACATCCCACAAGCACTGTAGAATTTTCCAGACAAAAGCAACAAAGTGGCGCGGACATTGGGGGTTGTCGGCAATTCAGAATTCGAGACCAGTCCAAGGAATCGCAAATAAAGGCGTGGGGGCAGGGGAAGAAAACCTGTGGACTGGAAGGCTGCTGGCGTCGCACGATTCAGTTCTGCCTTCTGCTATCACGTTGGGCTTCACTTGAAGACGACTCCTGTGTAAATGGGAAACACAGGCTGTGGGGAGGTCTGGCTGCCGAGAGGACTGTGCTCCTGGTGGGATCTGGCTCTCAGCAGGAGAGGGCAAGGCCAGGCGTGGGGGGCCGGGCTGGCGGCGGGCGGGACGGCGGGCGGCGTGGATGCAGAGGCAGGTGGATCCCTGGCCAAGGCTCTGGACACTGGATCTCAGCGGCTGAGGGCCGGCTGGGAGGTGCCCACGGACAGAGGCGGAAGTGCCGGCAGTGTTAATACTGGAAAAGGATGACCTGCAAGAGGAGGGCAGGGAGGCGGCTGAGCACCCAGCAGCGCCCCCCAGAGGACCTCGAAGGCACAGACCGCGAGAGTGGGCTCAGGGTCTGGGTCTGGGTCTCTGTCCTGGTTCTGTCAACTCGCTGGCTGTGGGGCCTTGGGTGATTCACCTGCCCTCTCTGAGCCTGACCCCTCACCTGTAAAGCGAGGATGAGGGAGGATTAGGTGAGAGACAACGCTGGGCACTCGACCCTGAGCCTTCTGTGCGCTATTTCATCGACGTGGCTCATCAAGCCTGAACTCCACTAGGGAGGGCACTGATCTCAGAGCCCACATCTCACAGCCACGAAGAGAGGAGCAGCACTGGGAGCCAGGCCTGCAGCATGGCCAGCTCTATACCATACCCATGCCTCTACCTCTCCAAGGCCCCACGGCACCTGCTGCTGATGAATTCCCTGAAGTTCAAGTCCATGGGACGTCAAGACCCGTGGTCAGTGAGATGTGCCTTTTCACAGCAGTGTGAGGAGGAGGTTCCCAGGGGTCTGGGGACCTCTGGTGGGCACAGCCATGTGGCTGTTGCGTTTTCTCATCAGGAATGTCACCTGCTTCAGATGGGTTGCCACGGGGAGGTGACAGAGAAAAGCAATGATGATGTCTCCACCACAGCACAGGAGTCCCCCCTTAGCCAACGGTTTCAGTTACCCAAGGGCAACCACAGTGTGAAAATATCAATTTTTTAAAATTCTTTGGAGCAGTCACATTCAGGTGACTTTTATTATTCTATTTTATCATTAATATTGCTGTAACTCTCTCTCTCTCTGAGCCTAGCCTAATTCATAAAGTAAACTGTGTATCACAGGAATGCATGTGCAGAGTGTATTAGGGCTGGGTACAATCCCGCAGCTTCAGGCACCCACTGTGAGTCCTGGCACCTGCCCCTGAGGATACGGGGGACCGTCGCAGTCACAATGATAACCGACATCAGCCGAGCACCTCCTGTGTACAGAGACGGGCACAATCGCATTCACTCTCTGGTGGGGACTGCTATTAGCCCCATTGTGTGGGTGCAGAAACTGCTCTGAGCAGCTGACTGCGCCCCCCAGTTTGACAGGGGAAGGTGGTTTGCCGACTTCCTCTTCCGGCCTTGGTACCGCCCCCACTTTGGCCTCCGGGACACCTGGCTTTGGGCTCTTACTATGAGACAGTATCTCAGGCCAGCATGTGGCACAGCTGGTTAAGCCTCCAGCTGCGACTCCAACCTCCCATGTGAGCGCCGGTTCAAGTCCCGGCTGCTTCACTTCCAATGCAACTCCCTGCTAATGCACCTGGGAAGGCAGTGGAAGATGGCCCAAGTGCTTGGGCCCCTGCAACTTATGTGGGAGAAATGAGTGGAGTTCTTGGCTCCTTGCTTGGGCCTGGCCCAGTCCTAGCTGTTGTGGCCATTTGGGGAGTGAACCAGCAGATGGAAGATCGATCTCTCTCTCCCTTTCTCTAACTCTGCCTTTCAAATAAACAAAATAAATCTTAAAAAAAAAAAAAAAAGACACCATATCTCAAGAAGGAAGGCCTTGGGCAGGCCCTTCCCCTCCAAGGACCTGACTCTCTCCATATGATCCACGACAGCCCTGATTTTAAGGACGTCCCAAGCACTGACACTGTGGGATGAGGGCCATGAGCAGGAAGGAACATGGTTCTGGAAACTCGTGGGTGTGTGTGGCCTGGGGACAAAACAGACAGCGCTGGTCTAGATGACCAGGCTCAGGGGTCAGCCCCAGGGGGACAGTGCACAGCTAACTGGCTCAGGCCTGGAGAGACCTGGGAGAAAGCCCACACAGTCCCTGGTGGGCTACAGAGCTTACACCTCACAGCCCAGCAGGCCCCAAGGGCTTGGTAACACGTGGACCAGGGAAAGGACCGCCCCCCCGGGGGGGGGTGCTGGCAAGGAGGTGGGGCAGTAGGAGGGCAGAAGGTGGTGAAGGAGGGGGACACACGTTAATCGTTAATCGTGAGCTTCTGGGTGTCCAGCTGAGAACACAGCCCAGCAGGTGAGAACCCTGGCTCAGCAGCCAAAGTCAGGGGCCAGGAACTTTCTAGAGCCGAAGCTGCCAGAGCCCAGCCTGGCTCAGCCTTCAGGCGGAACCACACACAGACACAAGCTTCGCTGAGCCGCCAAGACAAGGCCTAGTCTCTGAGTGCCGAGGCCAGCACTGCCCTACATATAATGGCCAAGGGCAGGCCCTTCATAGTGCAGCTCCTGTCGGCGCCTCCATCTCCCTGGGCTTCTGCCACACAGAACACCCCTCGTCCCCTCAAACCCAGGTTCCTCCACTCCCCTGTGTATTTGCGCATGCTGGTATCCCACCGTGGAGCCTGGGACAAGTCACATCATCTCTCTGCACCTCACTGTCCTTTTCTTTACCATAAGGAAGGCCATCCCCTCGCTCACCATAACGTGCGTCAAGTGCCTGCCTCAAACAGACAAGGAGCCCAACAAGAGGCAGCTCCCAGCGTGAACTTGACGGCTGCAGAGGGGTTCCTCGCCCACCACGGGCCCTGCAGGATTCTGCCTTGTGCTCTACCATTTACTTAGAGACCCATCTGTGCAACCAGGCTGCCTGCATCCCGACACAGTTACAGTGCCCTGTGGGACCCAGCTCAGAGGGAGCCCAGCACACAGTAGGTGCTCACCTTGGAGGAGGGGTCCCTGCCTGCTGCCACTCAGAACCACACAGGCTGGGCACTTACACACGTGGACCCCTGAGCCCGTCATCAGGCTTCCCCATCAGAGGGGCGGGGCTTGGGGCTCTGTATCTTTACAAGCCACCCAGGAGAACTGAGACTTGAGCAGACCAGGATCCACTGGGCTGGAGGGGCCCCTCCCAGCTCTAAAGCCCTGACCCTCTCTCCTGAGATGGCCATGAGTGCTGTAGCACCCATGGCACACCCTCCCACCCAGCCTGGCCGAGCACAGCTGTGGTGCTGTCTCTGAAGTAGGCCCTCCAGGGACCCCCACCCCGCCAGGCCAAAGCCCAGCTCCTCTACCTGGCAACGCCAAGGGCCCTACTTCTCACTGCACTCCCCCCAAGCCTGTAGCCAGCGACACAGCCTGTCTCAGGGCTCAACACTGCCAGCTGCCCTGAAAGACTGACCCCGCCTTCCTCTGGGAAGGCTTCCTTGTGTCTCCTTTGCCCGCCAGCCCCTCCCCAGCACCCCTGGCTTCCTCCATCACAGCCTGATCTCCCTGTTGGGGTTTGTCGACCCCGGAGCCCCAGACTGTGGCCTCCTGGAGGGCAGGGACCACGCTGAGCTCATCCCTGAGCTCCCAGCAATGGGCTCAGGGCTGTTGATAGGTAGGAAACAAACGAGTGCGGGAGCGCGCAGCCTCCCACCCAGGCTCCGACCTTGACCTCCCTTGGCTTCAATTTCCTCATTTCTAGAACGAGGGGCTGTCACAGAGCAGTGCCTTTTAAGGCTAACCATGAGGCATCGGGGAACTGAGAGGGAGGAGGTGAGGCCCCTGCCCCCTCCCTCCGTGGCTCCACCAGAGCGGCTCCATCCACTTTCCCCTGTGTTACAAAGGCTTCCAGGGCTTACAAAACAAAGCCTTCCAGCCCCGGGCTGGGTGCAGTCCCAGGCTGGGTGCTGTCCAAGCCCCCTCTGACTGTTCAGTCTATTGCTTGAGACAACCACAGGCTGATCCTGTCCCTCAGAGGAAGCCCTGCTGGGCTGCTCTCCCTGGGTGTCCCCTCCTGGGGACATTCTCTCCCAAAAGACTGGAACCTCAAAGCGTGAGTCGAGCAAACTCACAAATCTGGCAAAGAGAAGGCCCGGCTGGTAGCGGGCGCTGCAAGGAGGTTTTTGGAGCAGCTGTGCACACAGCACACACCGGCAGCTGCTGGACTGACTGCCGTGGGAGTCTGAGCAGGCTGGGCAGAGACTCTCGGCCACAAAGCGGCATGGGGCCACTCAATGGCAGGGAACGCTGCCAGAAACCCGTCCCCAGCAGGATGGCTCCGACCCACCAGACCCCAGCTGGCTCCATTTACCTTCTCACCCCGGTTGGAGAGCGGCCCATCCATATCGGCTTTGAGGTGGACGGGGGGCGCGGTGTAAGGCAGCCGGCAGTGCACCTGCCCGCACTGTACCTGACCTGTGGACAAGAGCATGCCTTGGAGCCCATCCCCCAGGCTCCAACGCAGGATCCCACCTCACTCTGCAAGCCGGAGCCCCGAGACCAGTGTCATCTCTGTCCCCTTACCACCTGGGTGGCCCCGGGCAAGGTGTAAGAGGATTGGCTTCGATGGTGTGCAGGAAGGGCTTTGCAGTAGGGAGAGTGCCATGTGATGGCTGAGCACCGCTCTCCAGCTCACAAACACTCCCACGTGAACACGCATGGAATACCTCCTGCGAGGAGGTGGTGCCCTATCTACTCAGACCCTTGGGGCTCCTTGAATGTTGTCCTCTCTCAGGCATCACCTGAGCTTTATCCCATGTCTCCTAGAGGACTCTGCACTCCTGTGTCACCCTCTGTTTACAGCTGCAACCCAGCACCTGCAACTCAGGCCACCCCTCACAGTCCTCCTGCCTGGCTGACTTAGCACTGACCGCCTGACACGTGGCCTGTTTTTTACTGGTCGTCTGACATCATCTGCCTTTGCCAACTGGAGTACAAGCTCCGTGATGGCAGAAGTTTTTTCTAGATTCAAGTCTTCGTGTGTTCTCATATCTTAGATGCAGCACGGCATCTAGTATGCACTCTATTTGTCAAATGAAGTTCCATACTCTGTTCCGGCATCCAAAACTGTTGGGGAAAGTCCATCTTTGGGTCTGACCCAAGTCTCTCATGCTTTAGCCTTTCTAACACCACAGGGCAGAAGTCCATTGCCTGTCTCTTCCATAGATTTTGTCTTCCTTTGTCATAGGAGAAGAGACCTACATGGAGACTCACAATTGACAGGTAACTTAGGACAAGTCACTGTTGCTTTCTAAGTCACAGTTCTCTCTCCTGTGACAGAAAGCAGTTATATTATGACAGAAGTCATGAACCTGGCACAGTCAAGGAATTCTCCCACAGCCCCATATTACTTAAAAAGCTATGTGTGAGGGCCAGCACTGTGGCATAGTGGGTAAAGCCACCGCCTGCAGTGCCAGCAATCCATGTGGGCACCGGTTTGAGTCCCGACTGCTCCACTTCTGATCCAGCTCTCTGCTATGGCCTGGGAAAGCCGTAGAAGATGGCCCAAGTCCTTGGGCCCCTGCCTCCTGCGTGAGAGACCTGGAAGAAGCTCCTGGCTCTTGGCTTTAGATCAGCACAGCTCCAGTCATTGTGGGCATTTGGGGAGTGAACCAGTGGATGAAAGACCTCTCTCTCTCTTTCTGTCTCTGCCTCTGCCTCTCTGTAACTCTGCCTTCTGAGTAAATAAATGTTTTTTAAAAAGAAAGCTATGTATGAAGCAACTTCAAAAAGTATGTGGAAAATATGTAGTATGAAAAAAAGCTATGCATGCATTCCAAAACTTTTTGGCACCAAAATGAACATATCTTTTAACTCCACTTTTCAGCATACTTCTCGAAGTACCCTCATCTGTCTGTGCATTTTTCTGGAATCTGGTTCCAAAGCCTCTACCAGATCCTAAGCTCTAAGTTTCCAGGAACCTTGAGATGCTGTCATTTTAGCTGACTGCGAAATAAAAGTTCACTTCTCCAGGGTCTGGTAGCACACTTGACCAGCCACCTTGCTCTAAAGCTTCAGAAACTCCAGGACTCCACGCCTTTAGTTAACTGCAAAGCAAAAGGCAGGGTACAGTCACGCAGCAAGAAGCGGCAGGTGCAGACTCCCCCGCCCTGGACTGGGTTCCTGTTCCAAGGGAAGAGGAGCAGGTACCTCAGCCACTTCTCTAGGCATTAAAGACGGATCTAGGGTGGGTCAACACAGGATGCAGATAGAGTCTAGGTGGGAACTCTGATGGTCACAGCTGAAAATTCCAAGGAGGCCACCTAAATCCATTGCTGACTCCACACCAAGTATTACTCAGTGGCCCAGTTCTCTCGCTACATAGACAGCCTCTGGCCCTTGGCACCTTGAACAGGTGCACCTTGAACATAAGTCACTATTGGGAAAGGGGAGAAACATTCCTCCTGATGAGCACAGAATTCAGAAATGTAACAGTACAAGCAGACATGGTTTCCAACTGGCAGTCAGTTCTTCCAACCAAAACCCCTACGGCAAAGAGCAGCCAGCACTTAATCGGCACTTACTGAAACGCTGACTTCAACAGTTCTCACCGGACGTTCACAACGCTGCTTTGCGAAAGGCTCTCTCTTTACGCTCATTTTAACAGGTGCAGGAGCTGGTCCCCAGGGAAATAAGGAGCTTGCTCGATGCCACACAGCTAGTCTGTGGCAGGGGTGGGACCTGAAGCCCAGGAGGCTGCGAGCAAAGCCTGTAGGTGATCATTCAAGGATCCTGTCGCACTAACTTACAGTGGGCCCCTGGATTCCTCCTCCACGGGACCATCCTCTCTGGTGTATAGAAACACAGCCAGGCGAGAATCTGGCTCGTTCCAGGTGCTCCGAAAGCAGCAGTCCACCCTCTGCACTCCCTTGTTTTTCCTTTTCAGAGCCAGAGAAGGGTGTGTGTATGCGTGTGTGTGTGTGTGTGATAATCACTTCTATTTTTCAGTCATGTCCAGCTTTGAGAAAACAATTAATGGAAAGCAAAGCCCGGGTAAGCACCTGCTAAGTGGCAGACTCCCTGAACCCACAGGAACTCCCTGAACTCCCCCAGGAACCCACAAGGCTACCCCCTCGCTCCTCCAGTTCCAGCTGCAAAGTCACAACCCCGTGACTGTCCCTGTGCCTCCCCCTTGGGGGCGAGGAGCGCCCACTGACACGCCTGCCCCCTCCTCTAACACTTTATTCCCTCCCTACCGGACCGCGGCATCTCTGGCCGATGGCACTTGTTGTTGGGCCCCAGTGCTAAGAACCCAGCCAGTGAACAGAATGCCAGCGTGCACGGGTGGATCCTCACAGCCTGTGTGGCGGGCGTTGGTAGCTCGCTGGCTTACAGATAAGGAAACCAAGGCTCCAGGAAGGTGTGGGATTTGCCCAAGGTCTCAGCGCGCTGCAAGTGCCTCCGACAGACAGCCTGCCCCCTCCTCAGCTTGCAGATGCAAAGCCCCCACCCCCGGACCTCGCCATACGAAGCAGCGCCGAGCAAACCACACCCTCCTCTGGTTCCAGATCCACGCAGGACAGGAACCTTGCCCAGCCGGCCGTGGTGCGGAGCAGGTGCTTGCAAAGTGCTTTCTGAATGGCCGAATGGCCTGCCTGTGCTGAAGGTCTCGCTCTCTTCCGCAGCCCGCGGGTTCCTTACAAGGCCCCCGCCCCGCCCCGCGCGCCCCTCCCCGGAGGCCCCCCGCGTCGCGGTCACTTACTCTCAATGTAGCCGTGCAGGGGAACTTGCCCCCCCGCTCGGGACGGTTGAACGGGAAGAAGGGGATATTGGTTTGAAAAGGCGGAAGGGGAGGGGGGGAAGGGGGGCCCCCCCCCAGGGGCGCAACCCGGGGGCTGGGGGGGGGGGGGGTTTTTTTATGCCCGCGCCCCGGGAGTTTTTTGAAACCCACACCCTGGAAAAGAACAGCCCTCTGAAAGCCTTCGGCCCCCCGGGGGGAAAAAGGGTTCGCCGCGCGCCCCCCCCGGAAGGGGGCCCGGGCTCCCCCCTTGAGGGCCCCGGCCCCCGGCCCCCCGCCCCCTGGCCCCCACCTGGATGACCCTTCGGCTGAGGCCCGTCATGTCCGCCAGCTTCTGCAGCGTCTGCGCGTCGGGATTGTTGTCCTGCGCGAATTGCGCCTGCATCACCTGCGGGGCGCAGGGCCATGGTTGGGGGGGGGGGGGGGTGAGGCACCCGTGTGCGGAAGTCTCCGGGACCCCGGCCCAATCAGGGACTCCGGCCAGGAGGCCACGCCCAGGCAGCGCCAGCCCCGCCCCCGACCCCGCCCCCGCGGGTTCGGGGCGGAGGGGCGGGGCCAGAAGGTCCCACGGCCCCGCCCCATGCGAAGCCCCTCCCACGCCCGCCCGGGTACCTGCAACTGCTCGGCGGTGAAGGAGGTTCGCGCGCGCTTGGCCGGCTTGGGCTGGCTGTCCTGTTCCGAGGGCACTGCCCCCTCCAACGTGAGGCCGTTCCCTGGGGGCGACAGAAGCGGCTGACCACGCGTCCCCATCTCTTCTAGTGGCAGCCTGGAAAGGATGGGGGTGGGGGGAGCTTGTCCCTGGAAGGGTCAGGAGCGGAGTGGGCTGGGAGCGGGGGTCCCAGGGCCCTGGTCCGCCTGTTGGGTCTTTGGGGAGAGGACTTCTGTTTCCGCGCGCCCCCTCGGTTCTGGGCGCTTCTTGCTCTGTGCTCCTTACGTCTCACAGCCCTCAGGAGGGTGGCACAGACCCCCAGCCTCGGGACCCGCCTCTGCTGGCGGACTGATCTTGACGCCTGGGGCCCAGGCGTCCTCAGAGTTAGGTTGGGGACAGCCAGAGGCGGCTGGGGACCGGAAGCGAGCAGGTTACAGACCCGTGACCCCAATTTTGTAAAAACAAATGGTAGCAAAAGGTTGGAGGCATACGCAGCCGAGCGTTAGCTAGCAGCGGTTTACCTCCCGGGAGGCTCCGTGCTTTCAACATTGCTGCGACTTTTGAAGTCTTTACAGCAATCACGTGTGACCGTCTTCAAGGCTGAGTTTTATAAACTTGGAATATCTGTTGGATATTCTTTTTCCACTTATCTTACATTTGCAATCACACCAAACCGCTAAATACATTCCCATTTTATTTCCTAATGCTCTTTTTGGGAATACAAAAATATATAAGGTCCTCATAAAAAATTTTCAAAAAAATTCTGATAAACACAAAGAAGGAAATAAATATTACCAGTGATTCTACCACGCAGAGACAACCACTGTTCACAATTTATTCCAATTTTTTTTAATTAGAAAAAAATATGTTGAAGGAAAAAATAAATACTTCAACATACATGGAAAAATCTGGAAAGATAAACACTAAAATATGTGGGGAGGTGGCATGATGTGAGTGATCTTTATTTTCCTCTTTTTGCCTAACTATCTTTTGTGATTTTGCTATGAGGAATGTGTGTGTGTGTGTGTGTGTGTGTGTGTTGTGTTGTGTTTAAAAAGGGAGAGAGCAGCCGGCACTGAGGGCTGTCAGTAGGGAGATCTTAGGCCCCCCACCTCCCAGTTCTCCCTGTGCGGTAGGAGCCTGGGTTCATCCGTGGCTGTGAGAGCCAGGATCTGATTGGCAAAGCCTTGATGGGGGTGGGGGTGGGGGGGGTCTCCTGGTTGGTCCAGGTGTGGCTTGTGATCACTGGTGGACCAAGGTGAGGCGGCAGCTCTGACTACCAGGCTTCCGGCTCCACCGCCGACTTGCCCACAGACACGTTCCTAGCACCCCAAGTTCACTTGCTGTCCACCTGGGCCCACTTAGCCCTGATCCTGGCAGGAGAAAGTGATGGCTGTGGTGTGGCCATGGCCGGGAACCCTGGTGGTCCCTGACTAGGCCCCAGGCTGGGGACTAGAAACAGAGGGACAAAGGTGCATCCTCTCCCCAGAGCAAATGGAGAGGGGGTGGACACGTTGTGGTATTCTTGCCCCCATGGAAGCAGGCAGCCCAAGGGCTGCTGAAGCTAGTTCTTAGGTGGGAAAATGAAACTCACAGAGGCAGCCACATCCCAGCAGTCTCCCCGGCTTTATGTGCTCCAAGGGACCCTGGACCTCGTATAGTATGGTGTGGCTTGGCAGTTAAGAGCCGGGACTTTGCAGTCAGCCAGAACTACCAGTATGTAACTGTTGGCAAGTCACATACTGCGGGGAGCTTTTTTCCATTTCCTTACCTACAAAATGAGGATACACTCTGCACTCCTCAGGGATGCTGTAAGGATTATGTAAAATAATCCAAGCAGCAGAGGAGCCAGCAGCTGCCAGGACCCCGACAGGGGAATTACGGAAGGGGTCCCTGCCTCTGCCCACAGGCCTGTGCCCACTAGCCTCCTCCGGCCCCCATCCCCCCTGTGACTCAGCCCTCAGGACCCCTGAAGATCTGCAGCCTGACCCTGAGCCTGTATGCCTTGGGAAATTATAGTCTCAGAGACTGAGAGGTCATTCTGGTCCAACGTGAGTCTTGCACAGACAAGGGGGCCAAGGAAAGGAAGGGGTCATCCAGCACAGCATGCGGTGGCAGCCAGGTCTCTGGCCTCAGAGAAGGGGCCCTTTCTGCTCACAGACAGGGAGCCTGGCCCAGAAATGCCCACACGAGACCTCCGGCTTGAAGCTGCTAGGATGGGAACTGGGAGAACAAGGGCCAGGTAATCCCTCCGGACTGGTTCCAGACAAGTGGAGGGGGTGAGACCCAGGGCCAGGCAGACCGGTCCAGAGGTGTAGTAGGCTGCCCTATTATGACAATGACCTCTAGGGTTCACAGAGCGCCTCACACATCTTTGCAACACATCCGCCTGCCCGTGTATCTTTATGGTGTCCTGTCCTTAGCCCACTTGACAAACAAGGAGACTTTCGGGAGCGCTGACTTCAGACCGCCAAGGCATCCTCCCCGCGCGGCCCCCCGCGGCGCACTGCCTGCAGGTGTTTGTAGGAGCGCCCCGCCCACCCCGAGCGGTGCGGGCGGGTCCTGGGCTGCCGGGACCCGGTGGGACGGGGCTGGGGGAGGGTTGAGTACCGTTCTCGGCGGCCCTCTTGAGGTTCTCGATCATGGTGTCGTAGTGGATGCGGCACAGAACCTTCTCCTCCACCAGGCCGAACTCCTCGCCGGTAGACAGCTGGCGTTTGCACGAGAAGCAGGCGAAGCAGGCCAGGTGGTAGGCGTTGCCGCGCGCCCGCCGCACCCAGTCGCTGGCGTAGATCTGTCGGCCGCAGCGGGCGCACTTGGTCCCAAATCGGCTGCAGGGCGACGGGGACGCGGTGGTGAGGCTCAGACGGGGCTTTTTCCCCTGCCGGCCAGCCCCCAGAGGCCCCGGCGCCCTGGCTCCTGGTCTCCACTCACCTTCACTTCCTCTATCCACCACCCCTCTAACAGCCAAGCCCCGCCTAGAGTGAGCTGCTTTTCTGAATTTTCCCGGAGGGTTTATGAGAATCTCTTACATTTTATGTTACAGTGTATTCATTTCTTTTAAAATACATCCTATGTTCCAACTTTCTACCAATGCACCTGGGAGGCAGCAAATGATGGCCCGGGTCTCTGCTACCCACATGGGAGACCCAAATGGAGTTCCTGATCCCTCACTTTAACCTGACCCAGCCCTGGCTGTTGAGGGGTGACGGAACAGCAAGTGGAAGATCTTTCTTTCTTTCTTTCTTTCTTTCTTTCTTTCTTTCTTTCTTTCTTTCTTTCTTTCTTAGTCATCCTTCGTTCTTCATTCATTCCTTCATTCATTCCTTCATTCATTCATCCTTTCCTTCCTTCCTTCCTTTCCTTCCTTCCTTCCCTTCCTTCCTTCCTTCCTTCCTTCCTTCCTTCCTTCCTTCCTTCCCTTCCCTTCCCTTCCCTTCCCTTCCTTCCTTCTTTCTCTCTCTTTCTTTCTCTCTCTCTCTCTCTGTCACTCTTTCAAATAAAAATAAATGAATCTACATAATAGTAATAATAATGGGAAATTTTTGGAAGGCTTCCCATGTGGCCAGCAAGATTCTAAGTGCTATATGTAAATGACCCAATCAATCTTCATTTTGCAAGTGAGAAAACCGGGAACCAGAGAGGTGAAGTAACTGTACAAAGTCACACAGCTCTCAGGAGTAAGGAACAGAGGCTCTGGAGATGAATAACTTCAGCCCTGGCTGCAGAGAGAGCTCAGAGCTTCTTGGAAGCACAGCCAGGACGAGCTTACTGGCTGTGCCCCTGGGCAAACTGCTGAACTCCTCTGAGGCTCATTTTCTTATCTGAGCTCAACTAGATGGCAACAGCAACACTGCTACCATTTCTGAAGTGCTCTGCCATCTCCTAAGTCCCCAGCGAGTCCCCGACTCCGGGACCTGGGACGTTCTAACAGCAAATGACAAAAGGACAAAAGCAGAACCAAAAAGCCCAGCTCAAGCATCCCTTTGCCCTCACGCCTTCCTTGGGTCTGCCGGTCCATTTCTGCCTCCCTGTTTGCAGTGTGGCTATTTGGGTACAGCTGCCTCGGTCTCCAGGCTGCGAGCCCCTCCAGGAAGCGGCAGGGTCAGGTTCTCCTTGCTTCAGAAGTCAGCCCAGAGCCTGATCCTGGAGTCCTTTAAGTTTTGACTCACCTGGGACTCCGTCCCAGCCCTCTCAGCCTGTTTCCGCCACTCCGCCACACATCCAGCCCCTAAAACTGGGAAATCCTAGCTCCTCCCACTCTGCCTCAACCCCACATCTCCCCTCCCAAGTCCTCAGGCACTGCTGGCTCCGTTTCCTAAGTATCTCTAGGATCCACCTCCTCCTCGGCACCCCCACCCATCGCCCTCCTAAACCAGGCTCCCATTGCACACCCAACACTCTCTGCACCCTGCCAACACTCTCAGCACCCTGCTGTCACCATGAAGTTTCCAGCATGCCTGCCGAACCCTGGCCCTGCCCTGCTTACAACCCTGTGGCCCGGCCACTCTACCTTCAGGATCTGATCCAGGGCCCTTGATGTTTACAAAACCCAACCCACCACTGCCTCTGCTGGCCCTGTTTTCTCCCTAGCCTTCTGCAAGAGCCCTCAGCCCACACCCCGGTCAGCCGCGATGGAAGGTCAATCCCAGGTCTTTATGGGGCTTCTGAATCACCTTCCCGCCCCAGGCCTTTGCTTGGGCTAGTCTCCCTCTGGACACGCCCTCCCCACCCCCCAGCCCCGCGGTCTCGCACCACCCTCACACTGCGCACATCCATTTGTAAATGCTGGTTCCCTGGCTCTCCCCTCCACCTCTGGCATTCCTGGAGGAGAGAGGGAGCCGACCGAGAAGATCAGTTCGTGTTCCCGGACCAGCATTTTCTATGCCAGGGTGTGGCCGGAGGAAACTTCCCAGCAAAAGCGGTGTGGGGAGCAGCCGCTTCTGCCTTGGCACATTCAAGCAACGCGGGGCAGATGGAACGGCGTGGAGCTGTCCTGAGTGCGGGGGAGCGCAGGCTCCGGCCAACTCCTGCCCCCAGACGCACCTCCAACGCCAACGCCGTGTTGCCGAGATTGCCAGGGGCTCCTGCCGCAGGAGGCTCAGTTCGCTCCGGCCGCGCTGCGCGCCTCTGCCCGGTCAACCGCCCTCCCTGGGCAAACGAGGTTCCCAGCCTCGGAAACGCAGCTTCCCTTGGCGAAAGGCTAGCACCGCGCACGGTCTCCGTTTCCAATCTCCAGCAAACAGGGGAGGGAACTGCTTTACCCATCCCAGCCCGCTCCCTCCGCGATGCCGACCCCGGGGTCTGCAGCCCGGCTGGTTGGTATCCACATCAGGAGCACTTTCTGGCCTCCGAAGGGGAGGCGGCTTTCTGTCATTTGTGCTTCGGGAGGAGGGGGCGGCCGGCGAGGTGCAGAGCCCCCGCTGCGGGCCGGGGTCCTGGGGCGCAACGCCTTCATTATGCCCCCTCGCTTCGTCGCAACCCAGTGAACTGGAGACTAGGGCACTCATTTTTCACACGTGGAGTTGGAGGTTCCGAGATGGCAAGCGACTTGCCAGAGACCCCATGGAGTGTGAGGCCCCCTCTGAGGTCCGAAAGAACCTAGAACTGCAGAGCGGTCGGTCGGCAGAGGAGAAGCGCTGGGCTCTCGGGTGGATGAACAGGAAGGGGTCCAGGTCCAGGCGCGCCGCGTCCTCACTCCCCTACGCAGGTCCAGTCCCCTCCAGAAGGCTCCAAGTCCATCCTCCGGGAGCCAGGAGAGCCCGGGCAAGAGCGGCTGAACCCTGGCGCCGGTAGTCCCGGCGCGCTGTGCCAGGGTGCGGTCCCAATTCCGGGCTCGGTGGCGTTCCTCGTCCTTGGCTACCAAGCCTTTAGTCTCTGCGCGCAACCGGGATCTTCTTGCGGCGCGAGTCCCGGACGCCGGAGTCCGTTCTTTGCCCACCCAGGCCAGTCGCTGAGCCCGGTCTCTCGGCTCCAAGGCAGGCGCAGCGAGCAGCCTCTCCGAAACTTGCTCATCCTCCGCGTGTCGCCCCTAGTGCAGGGGCTGCCTCCAGCCCCGGGGTCTCCCCGCACCCACCCAGATCCGCAGCGTGCGGTGGAGCAGTCGTTACGCAGTTTGGGATGCGTTACCTGCCGTTTCTGCCCGGCGTTCCCCAGCTAGGACGGAGGGTCAGGAGTGCAAACAAGGGCCGCGAGGTTTCCGGATTGCAGCCCACACGAGCCCGACGCACGCCTTCTCAGGCGGGCTGCGAAGCTTGAGCCGCCGGTTTCCGGAAGCAGCGAAATCGGCCGCAGAGACAACGAAAACTTCAAGAAAGGGGCGTTCAGGAGCTGTGAAGGGCGCGCCCGTGGGGCTGGGGGCACGCCCACCGCCACCCCAGCCTTGCTGTGAGGACTGGGCCGGGGCACCGCTCCAGGAGTCCCGGCGCGCCGCGGGCAAGGGCGCACAGTACCGAGACCGCAGACGGATGGATAGGTGGTGTCAGACAGATGTGCGCCCCGGCCACCGTGGAAGGATCGCTCACCACCCGGCTCTCTAGAGCACCCCAAGTCGCGGTTTGCTAGCAGGGAGTTGTGCGCCCCCGGCCGCCGTCGGCCTCCTTCTGGGCCTACTTCCCCTACACCCCGTAGGCGCTGAGCGATTGCTTGTTGGAAGAATGAGCTTCCGCAAAGGAGCGCATCAGAGTTTCCCTCGGGCCCCTTCAGAGTGGGAGCGCCAGCGTTAGTCTAGAAGACAGCGACCGAGAAACCGAAACGCAAACTGGAGCTCTCTGGATGGTCTTCCAGGAGAAGCAGCACAGCGCGGGCTAGAGACACGGCCCTTCCTATCCGCCCGCTCCTACCCTGCTAGGCAAGCCCTTAGGAGAAGAGGCCGGAAAAAAAACCAGAACCAGCAATTAAGAGGTTAAAACGCCCGCGCCTCGGAGGTCCAGGCCCGAGGCCCCTCCTCCCAGCTCCCCTCTCGGTTCCCCCAACATCTGTCCCCCAACAGCTGGCGGCCGCTGGGCCGCTCTCCGCCACGGTGGGGGGCCGCTTCCCGGCTCTAAGCCTCCCCCGGGACCCTCGCTCTGGGGGAGGGGTGGGGTTCCTCCCGCTGGAGCCTGCAGACTGAGAAGGCTGGGGGCTTGCCCTAGAGTCTAGTGGGCCCAGCAGGGAACCGGGAACTTCCGCAGGTCTGAGACCCTGCCACCCCCATAAACATGGGGGGGGGCGTTAACCCTTTACTCCCCCTCCCATGGAGACTTGACCTTGGCAAAGTTGCCCTGGCCACTTGCCTCTCAGGGAGTCATTTCTGCCTAGGTGCACCCAGGGCTGCACAGGGAGTTACACATCAGAGCACACAGTGGGTGCCCTCTATGGGAAGCCAAGGAACCTGGGCAGGAGGCTCAGGACCAGCGGAGAGGCCTCTGCCCTTCCATGGGCCCCACAAGGCATAGAGCGAGAGTGATCTAGGTGACTGGAGAGTGCAGGGGCAGGGATGGTTGGAGTCCGGCATCCTGGAGCTCACCCAGGTTCATTACTTCAGTGACCTCACCTCCTAGGGTCTCAGTTCCCCCTCCAGCATCGTGGGGCTTATGAGAGTATCACCCTCTCTGGGGTGCACCTGAGGGTGCCATGAATAAGGTGGGTGAACGGTTGGCACACTTCCTGGTGCCATACCTTCCAATCATGGGTGTCTTCACCCCCTGTCCAGCCTTCTTCCACGCTCTCACTTGTGGTGGGACCCTGGCCGTGGCACTGTCCACTCTCCCCAGACACCCATCTCCCGAGACAGATGATGGGCAATGCTTCAGGAGGCTGAGGGAGCCAGGAGTGCCCTTGGGGGATTGGGCCATGCTCCGTGGGGTGCCAGCCGGTGTGCAGGAGGGAGGGTTTTCTGATTGTGGCTGCGGAGGGCAGCTGAGCTATGAACACCCCAGAAAAAGGAACACTATTCCCCCAGCCCGCTCTGCCACCAGCGATATTTATTCACTTCTGTTGGTCACTTTTTTCTGGTGGGGGTCTCAGGGAATGAGCAAAGGGGGAGTCTAGTTGCACCTACAAGGACTGGTGAGGACTGGAGACTGACTTGCAGAAACAGGCAGAGAAGTCCAACCACCCGGCCAGGGGCACCTAGCCAGTGGAAACCGCCCCCACCCCCAACAAAGCAAAGGGGCCAGAAGCAGCACTCCCCGACCGTCCTCGTGCCCTGCAGCCTCCCTTCCTGGTGAGCTTGGAGTTCCTTCCCAACCTCTAACTCCCTTGGGCCCCATTGGCTCTGTCAATGGAGACCGAAAGAGAGGCTGTGAGGCAGTGCCAAGGAGGGTCCAGAGAGGAGACAGAACTGAAGTGAAATGCTTGCCTGGGTGGCAAGGCCGGAGGTTAGAGGACCAAGGGAGTCTCACGTGCACCCGCCCCACCTCCCACCTGAACCTGCACCCCACCCCAGTAGGAGATTTGGCTTCTCTTTGGACACTGTGTGCCGGTTCACATCCCACGCGAGCCTGGACTTCAGGAAACAGAGGCGTCTCCGCGGATGACCCCTGCTGGAGCCCCAGCCCTTGGTTCAAGCCTCCGGGGAGTCTTCCTCGTGGCAGCCATCCTTAGCCCCGGCTGCTGCCTAGTGCGCACAATAGTCTTTGCCTGGCACTCCACCGGACTTTTCTTTCCCTTGTTGTGGGTTTAATTATTTTTGTTACAGGTGGGGCTGCTAGGGATGGGTCCTACCTGCGGGGTGGCCGGGCACAGGAGAAATGATGAGAGAAGAGCCACAGCACTCCATCCACAACCTGAGGGATGTGAGCTCTTATTGCCTCCCCTTTTTTTTAAACCAGAAATCTGTTTTGGTTTTGTTTCGGGGCATTCTTGTCACTGGAAAATGATTAGTGCTCAGAACCTGTAGGCCAGAGATGGCCCAGCCCTATCACTCCGGGCAGGCTGACTCCTGGAGCTGTCTGGGGAACTGCCACGGGGGTCTGTGACAGGCATCCACCCTGCCAAGCAGCTCAGGGAGATGGTCCGGAAAGGGAGGGCAGAGAGATGCAGAGACCTGCCCAAGGTGACACATGACCTGACAGAGTCCAGTCTTCTGCCTGTCCCCTCAGTGGCCACACACCCTGCCGTCCACCCTACGGCAATGGGATAGGGGACTCTGGGATTAGTGGAGGCTGACCATTGGAGTCAGGGTCCATGTTTTGACTAGTCTTTCAAGGCTTGGCAAAGCACGCATCCAAGGAAGGTGGGGCCAGCAAGAGCGTGAGCGTGAGCGGAGGGGATGGGGAAGCCGGGGAGGGATGTGGGCAAGTGTGCCAGCTGGTCTGTGTTCACCAGGGGAGCCAGGACGGGGGTCTCGCCTGCCTATGCTAACCAGGAGGGCCCAGACACCATCCTGATGGGGCTATCTACACTGGAGCCCAGTCCCTGGTAGCTGAGACATCCAAGGTACCCCCAAAACAGCAGCTGGCTTGCTTTTCCCCAACCGGAGGCAGTCCTCGGGCAGGGACAGTGACTCTAACTTCCATTTCCTGTCCTCATCAGGACAGTTGGGCCAGTGGGAGAGGGCATCACACTTTTGGTTACACACACACACACACACACACACAGCCACAGATTCACATTCACCTTGCCCCTACTCCTCACAGTGCCCCAGGTGGGGGCATGGAAGTCCTCAAGTAGGAAATGCCCCCTAAGAGAAAGAGTGGGGTAAGGAACACTGAATCCCCTCCCCTCCCCTCCCCTCCAGATCCCCGTCCAGACCACCTTGCACAAACACGCACACACAATCTCAACATGCACATTCACACACTCGCGGCGCTCACACAGGAGCCAGTGAAGGAGCACTGCCTCCCCCAGCACCACTGCACCCACCCCAGGCCACACACACGCTGGGAGCCCCAGGCTACCTGGCACAGTCCCCTTCCGCACCTTGAAGACAGACAGCTCTGTTGCTTCCAGGACACGTCCCTCAGTTTGCCCCGAGTGCTGCGATGGCCCCCTGAGGCCAGAGGAACTCTCTCTAGGTCCCTGGAGGCTCAAGGACAAGGGCCTGGAGGTCATTGCCTGCTACCACATCCCCTGGACCCTCAGAGGCCCTGGGGTCTCTGGGAGGAAGATGGAGGCCATGACCTTCCCCCCTCCCACCCCCGCAAGGCTAAGAAGGAGCTATGTGGGTTGGGGATGGCTACAGAGGAACAGCTTTCTCCACTTCCTGAGAAGGCACTTGGGGGCAGGCGGCCCTCCCAGGAACCAACCGCACACCATTCTCAGATTCCGAGGCCCGCCCGCTGTGCCAGGCAGGGCTCACGCGTCCCGCCGCATCGGACAGAAGACCGCTGCCCCTGACCCTGCAGCGACCTCAATCTCACGACCCGGGCAGGTCCCGAGCCGTTTAGCTAGAAGCGAGGTGCGGCCGGTGGCTCGGCGGCGGCGGCGGCCGCGCCGCGGAAGGATGCGACCATCGGCGGCAGAGTTGTGGAGACACGGCGCTGGACGTGGAGAGCGCGGCCCGAGGTCTCACTTACTCCGAGCTCTGGGGGCAGCGCCCGACGCCCCCTGGACATCCGGGTCACCGGAGGCAGAGCCCAGACCCTTGGAGAGATGGAAGCCGAGGCCGGAAACGGCGGCGGAGCTGGGCCCCGGGCTTGAAACGCGACACTCAAGCGATGCCCGAGAACCAGCTGAGCTGGAGCCGGGAGACCCAGGCTGGTAGGACCAGGCGCCTGGGCGTCAGATCCGATCTGAGATGGAAGCCGCGCTGGTGCTTGCGGCCGGACCAGACCCGAGCCCAGAGAGGAGCCCGGGCCGGGGCCAGCGCAAGAGAGATCCCGCACAACTGGAATGCGAGTCGCGTTGGGACCCTGAGCCGGGACGCACACGGGATGCAGCCAGGCTGCGACTGGGATTCGAGCGGGTCGGGACCGGAGCCGAGACGCCGGAGTTCAACCAAGGCACTTGAGGTCGGACCTGGAGTCCAACACTCAGGCAAGACCGAGGCGGAACCGGAGGCAAGACGCAAGCCAGCGGACCGCAGGAACCTGTGCCGGTACCGGCACGCGGCCCGGAGCTCTGGGCTTGCCAGGCTGAGTCTCGCGGGCTGGGCTGCGCGGCGCTCGGGGACTTCGTGCCCGGGACGCGGGGGCTTGAAGCCGGAGAGCACACGTAGCAAAGGCCGCCTGGGTCTGTGCCCGGGGCCTGCCTTGCGGCGACACTGCTGGCCCGGCGGCCGCAGCCTACCTGAAGTAGTCCATCTTGCAGAAGATTTCCTTGTTCTTGATGTAGCAGCTGTTCTGCTGTCTCAGCGACGTGCGACACACGGAGCACTCGAGGCACCGCACGTGCCAGATGAGGTTGTTGACCTGGGGAGGGGGTGGGGTGGGGAGCTGGCTCAGCGGGGGGTGGGGGAGGCTTTCACACAGCCCCAGCCTCCCCGGCCCCATTTGCAGACAGAGACGCAGGAGCACAGAGGGTGCCAAGCGCCATCCCTGTGTTTCTTCCGTAATTCTGAGGCTCAGGGACACAGAAACTCTGCCCTTTTTTCAGGTGGAACCCGGGGGAGGGGGGCGCAGAGACCCTAAGGCTTGATCTAAACCTAGGAGTCAGGCAGCTGACTGGGATTGGGAATGAAAGGGGCCTGCCGCCTGTTTGTTTCCTTGCAGTGCCCTGAGCCCCAGCTCACAGCCCTCCAACACACAAGCAGCACCTACCCCTGTCTCACCTTGAGCAGATACCGGTCCAGGATCTCCAGGCCACAGCTGGAGCAGATGTTCTTGCCGGCAGACGGCACGGAGGAGGCGGCAGAGGGCGGCGAGCACACAGACGGTGTGCTGGGTGTGCATGGGGAGGCCCGACCCTCGTCCTTGTCCAGAGTGCCTGCGAGGGCCTCGGCGTCCGACTGAGCCTGCCACAGGGAAGAGGGGGAGAATCGAGCGCTGAGCCTGGTACACTGAGCTGCCGCTGCCTGGGCGACAAACCTGGAGCCCCAGCACACCAGCTGACAACGAAATCTGCCCCATCCGCCGCGCCCAAGGCTGGAGGACAGGCGCGGAAGGGCCTACTGGAGGGGAAGGGACCGTCCCAACTTTGAACGCGCGCATCCGGGGTGCTGGACGGGCTCACAGCCCACATTCCCAGCCAGAAAGCCGAGGCTCAGAGAGGGGCGGCGCCCGCCAGCAGTCCCCCCACCCCCCGGCGCGCCGGCAGCGGTTGGTGGCCGGAAAGCCTGGGCCAAGTCCCCCCGGGGTTGAGCTGCCGGAGGACCGGGGGCCGAAGACAGGGCCGAACGGACTCACCATGGCGGGAGGCGCAGTCCCTTCAAGGCAGCGGGTGGTCGCTTTGCAGCCGGACCCTGGCTGGGCCATCACCTGGGGGAGGGGGGGGGGAGGGAAGGCCGGCGGCGGCGGCTGCAGAACTGGCTCCGCGCAGCCTGAGCCCAGCGCCTCCCCGCGCCTGTTATATAAACCGGCGCCGAACAATGAGTCCTAACTTTGTAGTGGGCATTTAAAGCCCTTCCCCACAAAAGCGGTGTCTCTCTAATGAAGCAATTTGAATTTGGATTGGATTTTTTCCCTCTCTCTCCCCCTCTCCCTGCACTTAACCCGTGGCTCTTGAAGTAATCGCTTAGTTGCCTTGCAATGCAAGCCTCCGAGGGGGGAAAAAAAACACGCGCACACACACAAACTACCTGCAATTAGAAATTGTCGTGAATGCCCAAGATAAGAGGTAGCCAAAGTGTCAATTCCAACTGTCAATCAGTGAGATCCATCAGGCCGCCCAAAGAATTGCAAATTTGATTTTTTAATGGTAGTAATTAAAAATCGAATTTTTTCTCTCTCTCCACCCACCCCCCGTTTCCTCGCTCCCTTCTCCTCCTCTCGGCGCAGAATGCAAAAAGGAGAAAAGAGAGAAAGAAAATAAAAAAAGGAGATTGGTGTGTGTGTGTGTGTGTGTGTGGTGAGAGTGGGGGTTGGTTAGGAAAATCAGACCGGAGCGCCGGGAGTCTCGGCCCGCCAGACGCGCGCCGCGGGATCGAGGCGCGCTACGGGCACGAATCCGGGCGCCTCTCGAGAGCCGCTCGGAGGGAAGCCCCGGGAGAAACCGGGGAGAGATCGGGGGCGAAAGGGGACCAAAAAGAGAAAAGAGCGGCGTCCGAGGGCAAGCAAAGGGCCCCTGAACCCCCGGGCGCGCCCGGGACGGCCCCGCGTGGAGATTCTGAGCGCTGCGCCCGCGCAACCCCCGGCGCATCGGCGTTATCAGCGCCTATTCAGACGGACAATACCCGCCTCGCCTCCTCTTGATTCGCCTGTGTCTTTGCTAAATCGCTTTTTGAGAAATTCCTCCAACATTTGCATAATGTGTTCCCGCTTTGCGCGACCCCCCCCCCCCGCGCTCGCGCGCGCTCACTCACACTCGCACTCACACTCGCAGGCGCACCCCGCAGCCCTCCTCCTCGCCGCCGCCTCCCACCCGGCCCGACCCCGGCCGCGCCGCGAGCCCTCTCACCTGGTCGGTGGCCGGGCCACCCTCGGCCGGCAGCCGGCAGCCCTCGGGCAGTGCCGGGGCGGCGCTCTCATGCTTCCAGTACATGGGCCCCGGAGCGGCGGGCAAGGCGGGCGCGCGGCGCGGACAGCCGCGCAGAGTGGGGTCACGGCCGCAGTGGGAGCAGCGGCTGCAGCAGGAGCAGGAGCAGAGCAGAGGCGCCGGCCCTGCCGCCCCGGGCCCGGCCCCAGCCCCCGCCCCCGGCCCGCGCGCAGCCCTGGCCTCCCTGGCTGCCGGCGCCGCTGCCTCGGAAGAAGGTCCCGACAAACTTGGCGAGGCCCCGGTCCCCTCCTGGTATTCGGATCCGTGCAGCGCGCCAGCCGTAGCAGCCTTTTTCCTTTTTTCTTTTCCTTCTAAGACCTTTTTCTCTGTCTGGTTCTGCCTGTCAAAAAAAAAAAAAATCTCCTCTCTCTCTTCGTCCTCCCAATCCAAGTGTGGAGGCAATCACTGCCGCTGGAGTCCCGCTTGGTTCAGGATGAGTCATGTGTGACCAATCCCCTCCCCGCTAAGGAAGCGCAAGACACACAGGGAGGGCAGAGACTCAGAGACGTGCACCCACAGACACACAGATACACCGAAACCCGGCTGGGGACAGCAGACTTAGACACAGGCTAAGGTACAAAGACACTGCCGGCACACAGCCACCGCTCTCACCACCGCCCCTCCCTAAGGGGCACCCACGGTGTTCAGCCACAGTCCACCTCACAGGTACAAAACGGACCCCTGGTCATACCCTCCGCAGAGACGGATTCCATGTGCAGTCACACAGTATACTCGGCTTGTGCCTTCCCATGTCTGGTGTTTGTGGACACCCTGATGCAAATGATTAGCTGCTCACACCGTTACACAGGCATCGTGTGTAGTCACACGCACCTGCACAGACACCCCTGCTCCTTACAACCAGAGAGCCTAGCTGCTCCAGAAAGCTGAATGGGCTTGGGCTGGGTAGGAGGGGGTGGCCGGAAGAGGGCAGGGGAGTTCTCTGGGTTCTCTAGGCAGGGTTTGCTTGGGAAGTCTCTGTCCCCTTCAGGATTTGTTTAGCCACAGTGCAATGCCCAGCTCCCCTTCTATTGGGGTCTACTGCTAAGGAGAGTGGTGGGCAAGGCAGCAGGGCCCAGGCATTTTCATAGGAGACATAACCCCTCCTCCTCAACCCCCGGCAGGCAGGCACAGAATCCTCCAACTCACAGGCAGAGCCACACACACACACACACACACACACACTGGACAGCATACCAGCACATGTGGACACCCACAGCCTCTGCCTCCTCCACACACAAACTGAGCCTACAAACACACACATAAACATGCAGCTGCTAAAAGCAAAAATACACACTCAGATCCAGCCTCACAGACACCACAACAGCCCGCCCTCAAGCCACCATGCACACCAACACCTCCATAATTGCCGTCCTTGACTGATGGCAAGCCTCCACACCATTGTTCCTACACTTGTACACCTATTCATGCTCAAGAGAGCACAGACCCCCACAGAGCTCCAAACCCTGTGCGGCCTCACATCCTCTACCCAGACACCCCCAAACACACACACATCCTTAAGAGGGCGAAATAACCATAGGTATTTCAAGGCAGAAGCAGCACACATGCCCCCAGTTGTAGACTCAGCAGTGACAGTGTCAGCCAGCACACACAGGCACACCTCACACGAAGGCAGGCCCCATGCTAGTAAAGACACACATCTATCTCCCCCCAGGAAACAAATATCTGATCCTTTGCCGACACCAAGGTGCACACAGAAGCAGCCACTAGTGTCTCTTGCCTCCCAAATTCCAGTTGCTTATTGCTCTGGGACACAGAAAGGCAGAATGAAAACAGCTTCCCTCCAAACCATAATCCCTTATACTAAGAGTTGCACAGAAGACGTGAAAGCAGGTGAAGTGTGCATGTACACACACACACACACGTATACTCGCACATGTGTAGATGGACAACACCCCCTCCCCCAGGTACCTCTTTAGCACATAATAATGCCAGTCCCTACCCCTGGCTACTTTCATCTGCACCAGGCTTGATGCTGAGCCTTTTGTAACTATGATCTCATTTTCTTTTCCTGATAAGCCAAGAGGTAGCGTCAGTTAAGGTACCCATTTTCGTGATGAAAAAACTGAGGTTTAGAGGGAGCATGTGATATGTCCAGAATGGTGCCACGTGACTAATAATTGCCAGTCAAAAAAATCAAAACCAGACTCCTCTGACATCATGACCTCTTTGTGTGAGTGTGCGCACACACACACACACACAGGCACACATCCACATTTTCCTGGCCTTCACTTACGGGCTAAACCTGTTTCCTCACCTGCAAAATAGGAATAACTATGAGACCCCCATTATCCCTGTCTCTCCTGCCCTCAGCGTGGCTGGGGGAATTGAGAGGTGAACAAACACGATGCAGTGCGCACATCTTCAGATCGGCGAGTGTGCAAGGATGCCATGAAGACAGCAGAGATCGTACTGGCTTTGCAAAGCCTCTTAGGCAAAAGGGGAGGAGGAGGAGGCATGAGCTGCAACTAAAGGGCAGGCGAACTGTGGCTGGATTTGAGGGAGAGGAGAAGGCGTTCTAGGTAGAGAGGTGACTGCAAAGGTTCTGAGGCTAGAAAAGCAGCGGCTGCGCTCCCACGAGGACGGATGCCAGGTATGTGCTCCCGTGTGCTAACGGCGAGACTGTAAGCACCATCTCTTGAGCATTTATTTGCCAAGCACACTTTCACTGTGCATTGTCCTCTTTAGTCCTCACAACAAGCCTACCAAAAGGTTATACTATTATCCTGACTTTATAGCCGGGCAAATAAACTTACAGGAGCCCCAATTCAGGCTTCGACACTCAGACTCCAGAACTCAAAGTCTTACTTACTGTACAATGCTTCCCTAGAATTCTGAAAGCAACCAATAAATATTAGCCATCATCACAGCACAGACTGGCTGAACTTCTCTGTTGTTATTCTGCCGGGTGCCACATCAATTCTTTTGTGGAGTCAGGCAGGGCATAAATCAACTCAACAATCAAAGATTCTTCTGAACAACCTACCTAAGGAAGCCACAGCACCATTACCCCAGCCTGGGGCTTGCTTGAATTTGAAAAGGAAGCGAAATTACTTTGGAAAAGAAATCTGTCTCCCCACACCTCCTGACTCCAGGAGGAAAGGTCCAGAAAGCAATGACCTTGGCAAAGCTAGAACTAGCAGACTGAGCGTGTTCCCAGGGGTACTTGTTGTCTTCCTAAGGGGGACCATGGACAAGTCACTTTGCTTCTGGGAGCCTCACTTGCAAAATGGGACACCAGGAGTGCTTACCTCTCAGGCTCAGGGGGACAACTCGCCACACGTTAAAAACAAGTCTTTTTAGGAGTGCTGACTCCATGCCCGTGGCTGAATTGAGCACACTCTGGGAACACATCAGTGCCCTGCACGTTCTAATAGCGTCTTGTTGTCACTTCGGTTCTCCTGGTCACTAGAAGATGTTTAGTGCCCAGGTCCCCCCACCTGCATCGCGGTCCATGGTTTGGGTTTGAAGAGAGGATTCATGAGTAACTGGATAATTCTGCCTGAAGCCCCCAGCAGCGGTTCAGCCCCGCGGGGGAGTAATTCTAGGACCGTAATGTGAGTGTGTGTGTTGGGGGGGAGAGGCTGGCAACCCAGCTTTGCATTTATTTACTCTGACAGCTAAATTGGTGAGCAAAGGGGAAATCAGATGAAAGCCATTTCAGAGTAAATACTAAATACAAAATTTAAACATTCGGTTGTGACAAATGGGGAGGGGATGGTGGGAAGAGCACCTTCCTCCCCCCGCCCAGGACCCTGTCCTCCGAGGGTCATCTTCCTGGGCATTTCCTGTTTAAAGAAAGAGCACACCAAGAGCCTCAAGACCCCAGGCCAGCCATTTGCTTCCCCCCCACCCTGGCCTCAGTATCCTTGGTGGTGAACTGTGAGTGTTGTGGGAGTCAGGGGTCCTGGGAAGTGATGGAGAGGACCTTGGAGTTAGACCTGAGGTCACGGCCCCGTCCAGCCACTTGCTGGGTGGTTGAACTTGGACAGGTCACTTATCTGAACCTAGGTTTCCTCAACTCTGGGGATACTATCAACTTCAGAGCAGTCGATGAGATCTTCAGTGTGGAAGGCCTTTTTCTATTGCAAATGGGAACAGTTATAATCACCCCAAATCGCCTTCTGGTGTTGACATCCACGGAATACATTCAGGTCAGCAGACACATATGAAGCACTTACTCCATACCAAGCTCCCTGCTAGGCACAGGGGACATGGAGGAAGCTGCCCTGGTGCCTATCCATGTGCAGCCCACAGTCTATTGAGAGGCGACAGCGCCAGCAACGCAAGTGCGGGGTCGTGGGTGCTACACCAGACGAGCAGAGGGACGCTTCACTTGGCTTACAGGTGGGACTCTGGGAAAGGAATTACAGAGGAGGCTGCCCTCCAGGCAAGTCGTGGGAGCTGAGAAACTGGGAGGCAAGTGAGGACTGAGGGATGAAGAGCAGGTGCCCAGGCAGTGTTGGGGAATGAGGCTCGGGCGGTGGGTAAGGGATCAGATCATGGAGGTTGGAGTGCTGAGTTCAGGAACTGGATCCATGCTGAAAGCTTGGACAGTGGTGCAGGGAAGCAGCCTCTTGGCTCTGCCAACGCAGCATGGCACGGAGGTTACGGATTCCAGGTTTGGAGTCAGCCGGCCAGAGTGGATAATCCGACTCCGTGCACACTCCTTGAGGGTCCTAGGGCAAGTGACAAATTTCATGAGCATTCGTTTCCTCAACCATGAAATGGGCATTAACAGAGAACTGAGTCACAGGTGCTCACGGAGCATCCTCAAGCATCAAGGTTGCATCAAGGTTGGTGCTGGCCTGGTATCCAGTACGTGCTTAGTCACCTAGAGCCATTGGCATCACTAAGAGGAAGCAACGAACACACAAGGGCGCTAGCCAAGTGGGACTGCACTCAGGGCTGGACTCCCTGCCCCCACACTCTGCATCAACCCCTGAAGGGTTCCTGTCCCAGTGGAGGGACAGGAAACAGCTTGGAAACTGACTGGAATAAGCCCAGTGGAATACGATCAGAACTTCAACCTCAAAACATAGATCGTGGGAGGCCATCAAGGGCATTTAAAGCATGAAGATGAGTTGGCCAAATTGGAGGTTTGGAAAGATGTCTTAAGCTGTTGGCTTGAGGACAGAATCAAAGGGCAAGAGCGCTCCTGCGGCAGTGATGAGGTTGCTGTGGGGACCAGGAGGAGGGAAAGATGGAATAGAATTAAAAGTTAATTATTATAT